GCCGGTCCAACAGGTCACAGTTGAGTTGAACTCTTGACCCCCAAAGTCCTCGGCTCACACCAAAGAGGCAAAGCGCGGCTGAACTGATGGTGCGAGTGGACATCAGTACGAAAGGCACTCATAGCGTTAGCGATGTGACACACCTGCATGGACGGAAGCGCCCGAGAAGCTCTCAGCTTCCGAGTTCCGCAGCAAACTAGAACGTCAGCGTGCGAAACGATGCGTTAAAGGCTGGTTTCTGTTAGAGGACCACTGGAAGCACTCTAATTACACAATGAGAAGTGATTCTTTAATGACTATGGTGCGGGCCTCTTCAATTTATTATAATCACACAAGAGTGTCTCAAGATGAAAGATTATCAAAGAAGCTTGTGTGCAATAGCTCAAGAAATTAATGTTATCAAATAGCCCCGATCTCCACTTATCAAGAACGCTGCATGATAATTAAATCCAAAAAGCACAAGTTTTGTTCAGTTTTTGCCTTCAGATGAAAATGAGAGCGATAGTGATGGCTAACCTTAATTTAATGTTTCTCCTCCTGTGACAACTGGAGGGACTGTAATCTTAATCATTTGAATTATTCTTTACAACGTGGCACTCAGAGAAGTGTTGAATGGTTCATAAAAGACAAAGTGTGTTAACTACTCACAGCCTGCACCGCACTTCGTTCCATTCAAGACTGCTGCAAACTCTATAAAGCACAATTTCATTTGAACGCACAAACAGGACGAAGGCCATTTCGACATTATGGAATGATTCACATTGAGATATTCATGTATACGTCCTGAGAAAAGAACCGTTTCTGCACCACAGAAAGAGATGATGAAACCCATCTGACACCTACAGAGTTGTACTATGAGATGCAGTTGATCTTTAATTCCCTGTGAAAGCTGCAGTCCTTCACATTTGCTGGCAGAGGACGGGGAAAGACTCAATCGACTGCAGGTAGAGAAAAGTATGACGAGCTCTGCTTTGCAATGACACAATTACACACAAATGTGGAAGAGATCGGTGGCATCAAAGGTCGTCAGCGCGGCGCGTTGACTGGGAGAAAATGTCCTCCTCCTCCTCCTCAACTGCACAAAAGCAATAAGAGGGTTTCTTCTTCCCCTCTCGTCCTCCATGCACCGGGGGCGGCTTTCTGCATCAGAAGAATTCCTGGCAAATTAATGCACTACCTCTCGGGCTAATTAAATTAGAGGGGATCAAAACTACAGAGCGGCTTTTGTGGTGGACACAATGTTGTGCTTCATGCGCTCTTTGCTCTGGGGGGAATTTCTGCCATTTAGCCTCCTCTCTGCCTGCAGCTCCACGCTGGACTCGCTCTAACACAGTCAAGTTTCTCTAATTTGCTTGAATGAGAAAGAATTATTAACCCATAATAAGAAACCAAGAGAGTGAGAGAGAGAGCGTCACAGGGCTGCAGGCAGGGATGAGCGGCAAGCAGGGTGAACTCCTCGGCACCTGAAGCTCATGTGATTCTTTCTTATTATTAATTCCTCCCTAAAACGAGGCATTCAGGAGTAAAATTGCTGCGCAAATGACAAGAACGATTACGGCTGTAATTCCTCTTCTTTGGGAAATGTGTGCAGCTTTGTTGCAGCTCTAACTGGATCAGGCTCCTAACCAGCTACCGCTAACCATGTAGCATTGAGCACGACCTCTGCAATGCATGATGGTTCATTCCGAGGTTATTTTGCCCTACAAAAGGACACAGACATTACTGATAATACGCCCGAGCAGGAGTGTGCCGACTGCTCATTAAAGGCAGGCGAGCCGAGAGAAAAAATACACAATAGCAGAGTTTCAAAAATCTGCTTTTCCTTTTAATCAACTTTTAACGGCTAAACTTGCGTCCACACGTCAGCAGTTGGCAGCAGTTTCTTCCTCCGTGCAATCCGCCGCTTGAGATAGTCACACATTTTGACCAATTTACAGCAGAATTAATCAATTGAAAGACGTCGCCGTACGGAGCTGTGAGGCCCGATGTCTGAGAGGCAGAGAAAAACCTGATTTGGATCAGCGACAGAAGTCCTGAGTGGGTTTTGCATGCCTTCAGGAAATCCTTCAGAAGTCGAAGGAAGTAACCGCCCCCCTTCCGACCTCCCCCACCGCCCGCCTCCTCCCGCCCCCCCCGACACATCTCAGTCCGTGCTGGCAGCGCCGTGCCAACAGATTAAGGATTAATTCAGCCATCAAAGCGCGCTTACCTTGACACTAAGGTGGCGCTGACAGACATGTGCATTGTGTGCGATCCTCTGCAACACGTGGGGAAGGTTAATGATTCAGCGTCTGCATCAGAGAGAGACTGATACAAAGCGGCGGGGTGGGCCGCTGTGTCTGTGCACGCCTCCCCGTCTTCGTTGCAGCCCTTTGATTCCTCCTGCATGAAAACGTGTTTACCAGGGATTCCCGCATTTAGACACGAGAAAGGTAAAGCTGCGCGGCGATGTCATTTCCATTCTTCCCGACAAACTCTGCATTTAATTACAAGCCCTCCGCTGTGGGAGCGAGAGCGCGTCTGTTTGTTTTCCATCTGCGAGCAGGTTAAGGTGTTTCATCTCGCGGCGCTCTGCACACCTGCTTTGCAACACAAACGCGCACACAGACACACACACACACACACACACACACACACACACACACAGACACGCAGACAGCGATGCCGCAGAGGATCCTTCCATCTCTCTGGTCGCCCTGTGTCCTCCTCACCAGAATAAAGAACTGCAGCATCCAGCTGTCCGAGCTGCAACTCGCTGTAATCCAGAGAGAATTAGAGCTCTTCCTGTGTACAGGCCCCCCCCCCCCCCCCCCGTTCGGGCCCCCGGCCCTGTTAAGGTTTTGTAGCCTTGAATAAACCGCGCCGCCAACCGGTTTTTTTTTGAGGGGGAAACCGCAAGCCAAGAGGGGGGGGGGGGACTTTTTTTCATAGCCAAAGTCAACCAGGGAATATTACTCGGATGTTAATGGGGCTCGGCCCGGCCATTATGTGGCCTCAACCCCCCCCCCACCCACTCGTTTCCTTTTTGTCCCAGTGGAAGTAGAGTTGAGCCGCCCGCACACGGGGGGCGGTGGCGGTGGTGGGGGGGGGGGGGCGACCTGTTTGGTTTGTTGCAGGTAGATGTCCACAATCAGGACGGGGACAAAGCTCTCTTCCTCCCCGCCGCATCCGCGCGCTGACAGATAAGCCCCCCGGTCGGCCTTTTCCCATGACAGCGCCGCGGGGTCGAGGCGGCGGCGGCGGCGGCGGCCCTGGTCTAGTGATTACAGCCTCAATACGAGCTGACATTGTGGGGGGGGCTGAGATTAGGTAATGATTCTTGTTGAGGAGAATTAAGGGCGGGGAGGCGGCGAGCGCGGCACCGCGGCTCACACCTCGAGAGCCAGATTGCCATTTGAAGTGATTACAAGGTCGTTATACAGCGGTGGAGCTAATGATGCACATTCCAACTTGTCCGTCACCGGGAAGAGAAATCACGCTGCCGAGCGGCACTCTTCTTACTGATGCCGCCGTTTGTGGAGCAAACGCTGTCTCTTCTTAATGCAATCATTTTCACATCAAGAAAAACGGGACAAAATATTTTCCAGCGTAGCCCGTCTTATTTGTCAAATCCTCCGCAGACTAATCCGGCAATATTGCACGATGGATATCCTGATAAGAAATGGAGGTGACGGAGGGCGGGGAGAGGGGGGGTCGCTGCTGGTTTTTAATAAGGACAGTTTATCTTGTGTCTACAAAAAATAAAGCGAAGACGGTTGTCGTGCTGGCAGGTGAACAGATGGCGAGGAGGCCTTTCTGACTCCAGATCAGCTCTGCGAGGGACGGTCCTGCCTTTCAGAGGACATGCAGGACGGCTCGTAGGAGACGCGCTCGCCGGGGTCACGTCTTCTCACAGGGACCCGGCTGGCCCCCCCGAAACGCGTCCAGAATCCGAGCTCGCCCTTATCGCGCAACGTTTCGCTAAAGCTTCTCCCCACTAGGTAAACAATCGGGCCTGAGAACAGACTCCTGCTCGGCTGCGAGGACCCCGCCCCCCCACGGCACGGACCCCCACCCCAAAGAACAAGGCAGAAACAAGCAGGGCCGCCCTATCTCTCTGTATACAGGACCCCGTCGGCCCGTTTCCTCTGTCAAACACCCCCGGCCTCCCTCCTCGCGTTCTTTTTGTTTGCTTTACTGTAATCATTCCGCTGGCCCAGAAACGTGTGGGTGTGCTGGCAGCCGGACAGAAACGCGAGGCAGAGAGAAAGAGAAGTTACATGGGAACTGAGTTAAGGTTGAATATTTATTAGAAGAAGCCATCTGGCGTCGCAATGTCTGTACAAAGAGGGCTCGCTCTCTTCTTGTTACAGTCCTCCTCCTCCTCCTCCTCCTCCTCCTGCTCGCCTGACTTTATCTTCCTCCGTCTCTCTCCCATTTTCTTCTCTTCCCCCCGTGTCCCAGAGAAAATATTCTGCTGCAACCACATGCTCGCCGAGCCTTCCACATAATCACAGCATTATACCATTTCAAAGGGTCCCTAATCAAAGGAAGGAGCACAGAGATCTTTCACCCTAAATGGTTTACTTTGCTGCTGGGGGGGGTTTCAGCGCTCTCGTCACACACCTCGTGTTTGTTGTGGCCACTTCACAGGAAGAACTGCAACTTTTACTGAATCTTTTTCCTTTCCACTCACATAAAGGACGGATTTAGTGTCTAATCAGTGGCGAGGGCAAACCTCCCGGCTGCTGCAGATGACGGAGATGAGTACTAGATGGTCCACGTCGCCGCCGGAGAGCCCGCTCATGTGCACGCGTCCAGGGAGGAGGGGGGGAGGGGGGGCACATCGGGTCGCAGCGGCTGCATTTCCCGTGATGGAATCCCTCGGGAATGTTGGGAGCTCTCGAGGGGGAATCTGCAGCAGGCATCTCGCTGCTTCCTGTGCGCCGCGCGGCGGTTCTACGGGTCGGGCGGGGCGTCGCTCAGAGGGTCCTAAACGCTCACCGCGGTCGATGCTTTACTAAACGACCGTGTTCAGGTCGCCGCGTATTTGTCTGAATCCCACGGCCGACATCTCTAATAGAATCAACTCAATGTTATTGGAGCCTTCGAGGCGTCAATACAGTTTGATTGACAGATCCTGCAGCGGCTCCCATGACACTGGGAGAGTCTTGTTGCAGACTTCAGCTGTACGACTCGGCTCCCTCTGGTTTTTGTCTCGATTTCCGGGTCTCGAAGTGACCGGCTGTGTGACAGAAGGACACAATGGGATCCAAAACGCACAATGTCTAAGATACGACATTCAGCAGACGAAGCGTCTGCTCGTGGGCATCGGTGAAGCAACACCGCGGCACGCAGCGTCGTCTTCTTCTTCTTCTTCTCCAGGCAGGAAAAAGGCAAATAAACTTGTATTAACTCCAGAATTTATTGTATTAATTGAAGGGATTTTTCCACATTACGGGTGCTATTACTGAGAGCAATACGGTTTCCTTGGAATGGAATAAACGAGTTGGGGAAGTCTTCCACTTTGCAGGTACACACCATGCATCCCAATTATGGCAGAATAAAGCTAAATGAAATTTCCATCTCCATTCAGGAATATGAATGTGCAATTTTATGAGGGTGAAAATGTGCCAAAGAGGTAAGCACCTTGCCAGCACCGTGAAAAACGACGCCAATTAAAGCGTAACTTGCTTGTTTTCTCATAACATACATGTTTTCATAACTCTGAAATCAAATAATTGCTCCTCTTTGTATCGCGCACAATAAAAGTGAAAATATGGCGGCTGGAGGATGCTCCTGAATATTTTAGTGCACACGCTTAACAACAAGAAGAAGGAATAGCAGAAAACGTGGCAAAGTGAGACGCGGATGCGAGGTTCCTTCAAGAAATTAAGACTCCTCAGCTGTTTATCCTTCAAGCCTGGAAAGTGCACATGATTTCATTTTTGTGATTATGTGCCAAAAGCGGCACACTGGTCTCTCACAGATTATATGAAAACAGTGTGTTTATTTCTGAAAACAAGTGTTTGTTTTGCCCGAAGCGGCAACTTGGTCCAGCAGGTTTCCAGCAGCCTGCAGACTGCGACCAATCAGCCGCCTTCTTTGACCCGCACTCAATTCAACTCATAGCTTATTGTAATTATCGCTGCACTGAAGTACAAATGGTGTTTTATTACTTCAGTAGCTGTTTATATTACTCCACCCCGAACACACACACACACACACACACGCACACACACACACACACACGCTAGACTGATGTTAATCAATTTGGAGAACTGCCCGGATTGTTTAAACTGTCATCACCACCCATCAGTCTACTGCACTCTCACAGGAATCTGAATATCTCTCGGGGAGGGCGTTCTTCCAATACTCACACACACGCACGCACACACACACACACACACACACGGCCTGGGATGATCACTTCGCATCCTCCACTTAAGACCGTTCCGTCATTATTTTTCCACATGAGCTGATCGATGCATACATGCAGAGTGGATTATCACCATTGTTTAACGTTTGCAGCCCTTTAATGGAGGAGGTGGAACTGAGAGGCGGCGATGTGACCTCCTCTACTGCGGGAGGACCATGAGCTCCGCTCCACACGTTCCCATGAGGCTACGAGGCTACGGGGCTCCGGCACCTTAGACTCACCGACAACAACCCGAGTCGCCGGATCCACTGACTGATGCTCCTGTCAGTTGAAGGTAATTGCAGCAATTTTTGTCACGTTTCTCTTGCTTTTACAAGGTGGCGTCACACTGCGCGCACACCTTAAAGTGTGTGTCTACTCACAAGTAGAGCCTCAGAAGCTCCTGCTTGAATATCCACATGTCAACAGATTTATTAGAGAAGACGTCACTTTATGGAATCTCATGAATGGCTTAATTGTGCCATTTTATTAGCACCAACTTGGAAAATTGCTCCCCGTATCGCAGAGGGGAAAAAAAAAAAAGAAATCTAGGTTGAGTTCATGTGTCTGTGGCTTTTTTTCAAAGGCCCGGAGGTTAAGTAACTACAGCCTTCTACGTCTTCTTCGACTAAATTGAACGCAGAGCTCAGAGGAGTGTGGATTAATTGCAAATAAAGAGGTTATTCTCCAAAGAAATAGGCCACAATTCCCTCTCCGTGGTCTCAGGGAGGAACGGGGAGCTGACACATGTCTGACACACTGCAGGTGCTTCCACTTGTGAAGGACATTGTTGTTCATGTAGCGACCTCAGACCCCACCTCGCCGCGCGCAGCGTTTCTTTGTAGGTCGCCGATGCTCCGAGTATCTACAGGAATGTGCGTTTGCATGAAGGACCTCCAGCGCTCGGTGCAGAAAGCCGCGTTATCAAAGAAATCACCTCTTCCTCCGTCGACTGAAGCCGCCGCGTTTGAGGCTGCGCGGAGGAGGCGTTGGAGGGACGCCGCTCTAATGGGAGGCGGCCGTCAGTGTCTTGTTTACTCGAGGTGAAACCCGGAGCCGAGGGCCGGAAATAATTGGGCGTCTCGCGGCTCCCGCGGTCACGCAAACCCACGCCGCGTTGTCCAGCGGATTTGTGAAATGGCTGTAAATGTCGGCGCGGTGACACGTCTCGCCGCCGCAGACACCACCGGCGCCCCACGAAGGAGCTGCTGGGAGGAAATGGGTCAAGATCAGAGTGGGCTCGTCTCCCGACCCGCGAAGGGGATCAGAGCGGCGAGGGGGGGGGGGGGAAGGATTGTTTCATTTTACATTTTCATTTCAGGCATTTAGCCGACGCGCGCTGTCCAGACGAGCCCCCGGTGCACGCCGACGGCACATTGCACGTGACTGCAAGTGGCAGGAGGAGAAATAAACGGGTTTCGGCAGATTAGAGGCCGATTGCGGCGCAGGAACTTTCTTAAAACGTAATCTTCGAGCAAACATTAGAGAATCTGATATTATTCAACATCACATCATTTCATTTCCTCTCCCTCAGAGCGCTGCGAGGGGCCGAGGATGCATGCGAGGGTCTAATGAGAAACACCGCGGATTCTGGAGGTCCTGAAGAGAAGCCCGCGGAGGGTTGGAGGAATGGTAAACAGGAAGTGCCTCGGCGAGGTGGACTCGGACCCTGTGACGCGCGGCGGGCTGCGTCTCATTCCAGCCCGGGCCGCGGCTACAGCTCGCGGTTCGGTCCTCCTCGTGCAACTGGGCGTTAATAAAAAAAAAAACGAGCACAACAAAAGCCGCCATCCGCCATCGGAGGCCCGGCTTATCGCCGGAGCTCTTTGTCTGCACGCCGCTTCAGCCGCCGCCGCGGAAAAATTGCTTTAATGACAAGATTTCAGCTGCCCGAATGAGAAACAAATAAAAGGAAAAAAAAGCAAAGCAGAGACAAGGATCTTTTTGAAGCGCACAATGGGAGTGGGTGTGATTCGTGTCACTTCTATCTGGGCTTCTGATGATCTCCGGCGCCGCGCTTCTCTTTTCTTCTCGCTCCTTTCAAGCTGTTTGGTCTCGCTTTTCCCCGGCGATTCCACAGAAGTGTGCTGCAGTTAACGCAAATCTTGCCCCGGCTGTATAAATTATTCATTTCATCGGCGGCGGCGGCGCTCGTCGTGTGATCGCCGACCTCGCCGGGGCGCGGGCGCGGGCCGGAGCGGGGATCCACCCTCCCTAATCACCAGCGTAATTGCTCAGGCATCTTCTTACCGCCGGAGAGGGAGGAGGCTCTCGCGCCGGAGCTCTGCAGCCAGAAATGAGTGCCATGTGGAGAGAGAGACTTTACCCGACCACAGCAGAGAATTTGAGGTGGCGCCGTGACGCCTGGAGCCCGCCGCTGTGCCCCCGGGCTGCCAAAACGACCACGATTCAAGTGTTAGATTTTGTTAGATTTAAGAGCGCTGTGCTCGTAAGCCTCTCCTCCTCCTCCTCCTCCTCCTCCTCCTCCTCTCCTCTGATCCTGGCACAGATTTATATCTAGGAAATGTTGATGACAACTTTCTGATGTATAACAGGGTGAATAAATGCTGTGGGAACTGAATATTGTTTTGGTCTTCTTTTGCAGAGCTGCATATGTGCAGATTGTTTTTGTGTCTGCAGGGACATCGCTCTCCTTTCTTCTGCGTTTGCTCTGCCAATATTGCCTTTTTAATCAAAATCAAGTATTTGCCAGCGAGCGATGTTCGCCGCTGATGCGACGGAGGTGATTAAGTGATTTTACTCAGCTAACATCATCAGTGTCTGTCTGTAAAATGTGCAGCGAGTCCCGCCTCACCCTGATTTAAAGGGTTCCTGACCATAAAAAGAAGTTAATTAGTCTCTTAATGGTCTGGATGCTGTTCGGGAGGATTTTTCCACCCTGGGAAGTGTCACTTTTTCTGGGGATTTTCTGCATGAAAATGGAACTAAAAAACATTCAAATAAAACTGGAATCCACAAACTGTCACTGGCAGTGAAACTAAAGATCCGAGTACAGTTGAATACCCGATGTAACTGGCTTTAATTGACTCCATACGTTTTCACTCACACTGCTCATTTTCTTCACTTTTCTTACTTTCCACAAGTCCCATTAGAAGACCAAAACCAGTTGTGGTGTGTGTGTGTGTGTGTGTGTGTGTGTGTGTGTGTGTGTGTGTGTGTGTGTGTGTCCACAGCCTGGTGTATCCTTAAGCTCCATCCATCCAAAAGCACATTAATGAGCCACAACGTCGCACCGGGTGACATCCTCCTTCATTACCATGAACACACACACACACACACACACACACGCGCCGTAGTGTATTCTGCCACCGTGGAACAACAGCACACGAGACCGGTGAGCCGATTCTGTTCTGACAGACGGGAAAATGTTTGCAGAATGTGTCAGATTGTCGGCATTCTCCTTTATGCATTCAATCCATTTGTTGACTTTAAAAAAAAAAAATGTGCCAATGAAATACGCCGGGGCCACCAAACAGAAACGTAAAAGTCTGCAGCCCAGCTGGACCCATCAAGCCGAGTGATGGCACGGGATCAAGTCAGGTCGCAGTGACCTCACGCGGAGGAGGACGTGGATGTCACCGGCTTCCTGAGGAGAACAAGGGGAGGCTGAGCGAAGTCAGCTGGCCTTTAATGTTCAGGAACAACTGAGCTGATACCACAGCTGAGAGGCAAGAAGGTGTGCGCCAGCCACCGCGACGCCGTTTGCACGTTCCCATCGGCATCTCCATCGGCCGCTCCTCGCCGGCCACGTTCTACTTTAATCTGCCAATTCCAAATGCCGCTTTGCGTCAGATGCCACAAAAGAAACGAGCCGTCCGTTCTTTTCTTTCACCTAAGCTCCTTCGCAGCATAAGCCCCCCCGTCCCCCCGTCCCCTCCCCCCGCTGTCTGGTACCATGACTTGGACAAGAAGAATGTTCAATCTCACGAAGGAAAAGATTTGTCTTAGGGCAGATGCAGCGCGGTGCCAGAATGAAGATGAGGGAGGACTCATGAGTTAGGAGGCGCATATCTCTGGGCCGAGATCAGGAGCTCACTAAATATAGGCCACATCCACATGAATTTATTGCGATATAATGAGAAAAGGATGTTCCTCTGAAGTGGATGTGAGGCGTTCATTCATCACGGGGCGAGTTCAGAGTCCTCTGACTTTTCTCATGTGAAAGTTGCGGCGACTGAAGGCCCCGTTCCTCAAAGCGAAGCACCTCCGTGCACGCGGGGGAACTTTGCCGCCGCATGAGCTGCACGTGAGGGGGTGTAAAAGGGGGATTTCACACCACGTCTTCTGCAGTTGGTCCCTCTCAAGCGGGCTCGTCTACACGTTAACCGTTAGCGCCTGGCTTTGAGGACCTGGCTGAGGGGGGGGGGCGGGGGGGATTCTTTTTAGGACACGTGGGGATACTTTTGTAAGTATTCTGGCTTCTTTATGATGCTGCCGGGCAGGTGACGAATTTACTCTCTTTCTAATTATCCGGAGGGTCAGATGACGGCGAGGGAGGGTCAGGGGGAATAGCCCTCCTACCGGATGGGTTCTTTTTTGAC